AAGGAAAGCTGGAAAACTGGGGACACAGATTCTGCTTCAGCAACTCACTAGAATGTGAGAGCCTCTCCCTGAGAGCTGCCTCTCCCATTCCTCTTAAAATCCAAACTAGTTCTTGAGTTTGAGACCAAGTTACTGAAGAGATGATGTTCATCTTTGCTTGTGAAGGGTCAGGAAGGCTCTGTCTGCACCCAGTGTTAAGCAGGCTGATGGCAGGAAGAAAATTTTGGATGACAGAGTTGAGAATGAAGTTGATGGAATGCAAGGGTTGGTAGGTTGTACCTGCAACACCAGGACCTCTGGGTGGTTTGGGTAGGCAAAGGAGACATCTTGGAACTGGACGAGGCCTTTCAAGTTTAAGGGAGTCAACACACCACTGGCTGGGCAGCGAGGGATCCGGTCCAGGTATTCGAATATTTTCTCTGAGGAGCCCACAGCCTTCTGTATATTGGGATAGGTGGAGAGCAGTACCTAGAGGGTTGGGATGAACAGTGAGGCGGGGAGGCCTGATCTGCTTGCCAGGGCTGTGATGGGAGAAGGGTGGGGAGCAGAGGAAAGTGACACATGTGCGATGGGAGGCGGGAAGGAACAGCATTGGGAGGGCCTCACCTCAACTGCTGTAGTGAACTGGACCTGGTAGAGAACAAAGGTGACAAGGTCCCCACTGCTTACAGCCCCACTTATCACCAGATGCCCACCGATGTATAGGATCGCCACCTTCAGCAGCATCCCTGAGATCTGGGCAGAGACCAGAGAGAAAAGGGGTTGGGGAAGAAAAATCCAGAGTGGGTGCAAAGAACAAGAATCATTCACATGAAAGAAATATAAAGTCCCTTTCTCCTGGGTTACAGCAGGAAGTGCAACAGGTAGAAAAGAAGAATGAATCAGAGACCTCATGGAGTCTTACTCGGTCACACAGCTGAAGCCCTCATCATCCTCATCCCCATCGTCATCTTGTCAGGAGCTTTCTGCTCTTCACCAAAGGCTTTCCTCAATGTAATGTCATCTGATATTCTTATCAAGAGCCCTATAAACAAGGCTATACTACTCATGTTCTTTTAAATGAGGAAACAGTCTCAGAGAAGGTAAGTTACGAGCCCATGGGTGCTGAGCTAGTAAATAAATGGCAGCATCAAGCCAGAACCCTCTGATTCCTGGCCCAACTCTCAGTTACATCACAGATGCCCCTCATCCTTGGCTTCTGCTATCCCCATGGCCCTCACTAGCACATCCACATATTTCTGAGCATGAAGGAGGCCAGGGTGTGGGGATTTATGGCTCCCTGAGTGCTCCAGGAGAGGCAAGGGAAGGCCCTAGGACTGGAAGACATGGCATTTCGCTAAAAAGCAGGTTTGGTGGATTTGGGGTACCATAGTAAAAGGAAGTATCAAGTGTGCCCAGAAAGAGGGAGGCAGGTAGGAACACCAAGTAGGCTTATCGAGCCTCAGTTTGCTAGCTGAGAACACCAGACCAACCACTGCCCAGTGGAGGAGTGTGGAGCAGGGTTGAGGAAGGGAATGGAGTTAAAGTGTCTCAGGACAAGGGCCAAGGCGTTCATCTCCCAGTGCTCACAGTAGTGGTCCACAGGCTGACGGCATAGGCCAGGGCCTCCTTCTGGCTGAGTGTGTTCATTTCCTGCAGCTTCTGCCTAAACTTCTGGGCCTCACCCTCCTCATTGGCAAAGCTCCGGACTGTAGGCATCGCTGACAGAACCTCAGTGGCCACCTGGCTGGACTCTGCCAGAGATTCCTGCACCTGTGCTGCCAGCACCTGAGGAGACACGGACAAGAGACATCACACAGGGCTGGCAAATCGTAAAGGGCACTGGTACCTGAGTTATGTGGTTGGAGATTAAAGGTTAAAAGAGGCAGATAAAATAGAGAAAAGAGAAAGGGGCGTGGTTATACTTCCTGGCTACTAAAGAGATACAGAGGGAAGGCAATGACTCAGAAGGGGAACAGGGGATCATATTCTTGAGAATGGTGATCATATTCTTAAAGACAGATTATGGGCAGAAGTTAGAAGAGAAGACACAGAGAATATGAAACTCAGCACTGAGCAATTTGGGGACACAGGTGACAGGGATAGGGAGCCCCATGAAGATAGGGAATCAGTGAGGAATGAGTCCATCGTGTCTGAGAGACAAGGGTTTGTGTGGGTTGAGGCAACTCCCTGGACGTACCTGGTGCCATTTTCCAAGCTTCTTGGGCAGAAGGAAAAGCAGAGGCAGGGCGACCAGGGTGACCATGGTGAGGGAGAGCGACCCCCAGAGCATGAGCCCCAGCAGACACAGCCCACGCACCAGGTACCACAGCAACAGGCTCAGCTTCTCACTTAGAGACTCACTCAGGGAGGACGTGTCTGCTGTAACCCGAGATGTGATGGCGCCTGCCAGGCGTTGGGGAGAAGAGAGTGGAGTCAGTGAGAGGCTCGGAGTGATGGGAGGGACAAGCAATGAGCCAGCTGTGCTGGCAAAGGGTGTCCCCATGCTCTGAGGAGGCTGGGGAAAAACAAGGTCAGAGGATGGGACAATGGGGATCTCAGTGGAGGGAGAATAACGTTAGAGAAGAAGAGCCAGGCCAAAGGCCTTCATTTCAACTCTAAGGAAACTGACGCCCATGTGAATTTCCGATTCTCTGGCAAATTTTTGTTCCTTTCAGAGCCTGTATACCCCATGCCACACTCATAGGCAAGGAAGAGCTCAGGCTGGTCACTTAATAGAGCCAGGGAAAAACGGAGAGTGCTGCTAGAAGGCTGTCCAGGAAACTGTGCCAAGCACTGAATTGGGAATCAAGAGATAGATTCACTCTCCCCAAGTTCACCTCTACCCAAGCATGACTATACAAGCTTCAGCATTTAGGGTCTAGGCCTATTTCCTTTTCTGCAAAATGAGGCAGTTGGACTCTGTGATCTCAAAATTTCCAGGTTTGAAATTCGATAGTGTCTGTCTAAATACACATACAGAGATAAGTTTATGGAAAAATCTTGGATAGAAAAATTAAGTTTTTCTAAAGATAAAATACAGGATTTTTCTCTTGAGGTATAAGAAATGAGAATTTGTGTGTGTGTGTGTGTGTGTGTGTGTGTGTGTGTGTGTGTGTGGAAGAGAGGTTATAAGTAAAAGTCAATGCATATGGATACAAACAGTACATCGATGTATAATGAATTTCATGAGATACCTGTTTGGTTCTCTTGGAAAAACTCTGTTTCCTGCTGCAGGACAGCCCGAAACACCTCTCCCTGCAAGTGGCTATGTGCACGGCCCATGGTGCCATTGTAGATCCCATCACCCATGAACTCCAGCACTGCACTAGAGATGGAGACAAGGGGGTCATTATGTGTTCGGGGGACAGAGAGAAGGTCCCAGGCATCCCCAAGGAAGTGCACAGGGTCCCCACTTCTTGGCCTTCCATCCTCAGCCCACAGACCTGGCTACAGTGAGAACGGACATGAGAGTTACATTTCGAGTGAAGGCAGAGGCTGCCTTGTCTTGTAGAATCCAGTCGGTGAGGCGGCCAGTGAAGAAGGGAATGGCCATCTCCCCTGGGGAGGGATAGAAGAGATGGGTCAGACACAAATATCAAGTCTAGCAGGGCGGTTCCAACCCCACTGCTCCCAGACCACCCCTCTCCTTCATGCTTGGCCATTACCAGGGAGGGCATCAGCAGAAAGCGGACACAAGGGACACAACCTTGCACCTTAGCAGGCCATCCTGGAACTCACAACCCTGAGGCCCCACCAGATCTTTAGGGATTTAATTAGGGAGGCTGGAGATCATAGGATGTGCTATGAGGCCAAAGAAAGAACTGGGTGGCCAATGAAGCAACGCCTGGCAGCACCGAGTCCAGGACTCCTGCCGCCCACCAAGTCCAGGTCTCATCCTCTACCCTGGAAAGGTCTGCTCAAGACCCGAGCTGGGTGGCCTTCCCTTGACCCACACCTTCCAGAACCCACACTAACCTATCTCACTGACCATTACTCTTGATTCCTACCCAGTCCCTTGTGTCCCTCCTGCTCCCCCTGCATTCCCCTTACCGGCACAGGAAAGGACCAGCAGGCCCAGAACGAGCGGCAGGCGCCGTATGTCCGAGCCCAGGCAGCCTAGAAGCCGGCGCACCGCGTCTGCAGATTTCCCTTGACCTCCGCGTACCCAAAGGCTCCCGAGCTTGCGCCATAGAGCAGCTGCGGGCAGCACTGCAGCGTAGCTGAGGGCGAAGGCGTCGAGGCGACATCCCCAATGCAGCAGCCTGGTGCTGTGAGAGTCCCTGGGGACTCCCCAGGAGCCCAGCTCTCGGAATAAGGCAAGTACCGGCAGCGCCAGGCCCAGCGCCGCCGCCAGGGACTCCGAAGCAGCCAGCCAGCCCAGGACCCCTGCGCTTCCGCTCTTGGAGCCATCCGTCGCCCTGGGGACTCCGCGGGCCCCCAGCCCCAGCACAGCCCAGCGGCTCAGGCCCACCCCCCAGACCCGAAGCAACGGCAGCGTGGAAGGCACTAAAAAGGAGAATATTCTTGGCAGCGCCGGCCGGAGCAGCACCCAGTCGGCTAGAAGCAGCAGCGTTGTCCCCAGCCACGGTAGGGAAGCTCGGAAGAGGTAGAGGCACCCGCTGGGCGCGGGGGACCCTGAGCCGGCCATCGGCGAGCGAGCCCGGAGTCGCGCCCGGACCTGGGGCTCCCTGGCGTCCCCGCCGAGCTGGAGGCCCTCGTAGGCTAGAGAGGGCGCGGAATGGGAGCTGGGGAAGGAAACAGGGGCTGGCCGAGGCGGGGCGCTCGAGAAGTCCCGGGAACCGGCCGATTCTGGTCGCGCTACTTGGAAGGGAGCCGCGTAAGGGAAAAGAAAACGAAAGCAGCCGCAGACTGGCTAGATCCGCCCACGTCGGAAAGTGGCCAACCCAGACTATTCTGGGCGACGGCACTGAATTCAGATATGAGGCTCTGGGAAGCAGCTTCGTCCATCTTACGCACCAGTCCCTCCTTTCCTTGCTGCCTCCTGCAAAGATTCACTTGTCGGAACCCGCTTACCCCAGCCTTGGGCGGGTTCTTTCGTCACCCGTCTCCGGGCAGACCTGCCAGACGCGGGTTAGCGGCCGGAGTCAGGCCTGGCGGAGAGAACCCAGGCGCCCCCTGGCGGGCGTGGAGAAGGGGCGGAGCTGCAGGCCGCGCGCAGCGCGCTGTCCCAGGTCGGAAACCAGCGCCCCAGAGTAGGAGCGCGGCGCAGAGATGCTGCCGACCGGAGCACCAAGCGATTTACCCCGGGCTGGCGAAGTCTACACTGGGGTAATGAGTATGGGCTTGAGCGTTAGCAGAGGGGTGGAGGAGGTGGAGCGACGGGGTACCCTAGAAGCGCCTGGAAGTAAATGAAGAGACTAACAAGAGTGAGGAGGTAGTTTGTAGTAGCCGGAGCTTGCAATGAGTACAGGGCGTCTGTACTCTGCAGGGGATCACCTAGGGGTCCGAGAAGGGCCTGGACAAGCGAGGCTGGCGGAGAAGGGGTGCTTTGGCTTTTAGCTGGAAGCGTCAAGGGGAAGCTGTTCTAAAGCGCTTTCGCTTTTACTCTGGACTAGAGAGAGGGGCTGGTTAAATCAAGGGAGGGGTGGAGAAGGTGCAGAGAGATGAGGAAATGGTGCCCTGGGTGAAGTAGGACCGCCCTTGGGAGAGGGTAATACAGGCACTGATGGAGACGAGACAGCCCATCACACAGACCTTTGATAAACTGGCCACTGTGCAGTTCATGGCACCCTGATAATGGGGGTTCCATGTGAGCGTGTGGTGCCCTGGCCCAGCTCAGCCCAGGAAGGTTCCTGCCTGGCCAGTGTGCTGCCATGCTCCCTTCCTTGAGTCTTCGATACCCACTCCCAGCACCTGATGGGGAACTGTGCCCAACCTGGGCACCTGGGGAAGATGGCAGCCCAAGGCTGGCTGGCTTCACCTCCCAGACTTACTGCCACTACGCTTGGCCTGGGGGCAGATTTGTTTCTGAGGAATTACCACTTAAGATGGGGTTGTCACTATTCTCTGGCCCTCCATTCATAGTAAGTCTGTACGTCAGAAAGCACACTCAGGGTGATATCCCTGGGGCCAGCGTAACTTATGGGGTGGTGAGAAAGACAGCAACAAAACCATTTTTAAGTAGAAAAAGTCCCTTACTGCTAGATAAGCCATGGAAGGAAGGAAGTGGAAGCGAAAACAAGGGAGGGCAGCGAGACCAGGACTTTAGCCCCAGGTCTGCTATTAATTCTCTGTGACCTTGGACAAGTCAGTTGCCTTCTCTGAGGCTGTTTCTTCATTTGAACCTAAGAGCTCTATGGCTCTTTCCAACTGAACAGTAGAGTAAGAGACGTTCACTCTTCCTTAATTATTTTCCTTAATTTCTTTTCCTGACCTAGAAAGGTCAGCGTAAACTACCTAGTCAAATCCTCTCTTGGTATTGATCTTGTTGCCTGGCTACTGAGATATCTATTTACCTCTTGATGAGAAATCCATAAATGAGACCTTTATTTTAAACCATTTCATATGTTCCATGCTGCTTTCCTCCTTCCTTGACATGTGGCCCTGCTAATCATCGACCCCCTCCATGTTTTCTGTTGTTCAAGAAACTGAAAGAGCTTGCTTCAGATTAAGGGGTGGGGTGGGGGTTGGAGGATTCTGGGCCAAAAAAAAAAGACATGAGCTTATTTCCCAAGGTCACAGTAACATGCTCTGTGTCAACATTGTACCACATCTGGACACACAGCAAGTGCCTGTACTGGAGGTGATTCACTTGTGTGCCTTACTGGTGTTTGGAGGTGCCCTCAAGCCAAACCTACAACCTCTCCGAGTCTCATCCACACCTCTTTCCTACAATGAAAGCATTTCACCTAGGAAGGTTGGGGCTTAGGGATATAGTTCTTTCTGTGTTGTGCCATGGCCATGCTGTGACATTCTCTTGCAGCTAGGAGAGGTGACAGAGAAAATGGGAAGATAGAGAAAAAAATCCTGTACTGAGATTCAGCTCTGGCCTGAATTACTGTAGGATCTTGAGCCGGTCACCTCCTCTCTCTGGGAATGTTTCCTCATCTGTAACCTGTCTTCCTGCACTGACGTTCCACCTCTGTCTCTGCAGACAACCATCATGGCAGTAGAGTTTGATGGGGGCGTTGTGCTGGGCTCTGATTCCCGAGTGTCTGCCGGGTAAGTACCGGGGAAGGTGTATGCTTTTGGAAGGATGCTAATGGCCCCAAATACATATTTTTCTTGCCATTTATGAAGAGACTGTTGAACTAGAGCTTTGGAGAAACTGAATTAACCTTTCAGAATTATATAATATATAACCTTTATAACCATTATGATAAGATATTGGGTGGGTGTTTTGAGTCTCTGAATTCCTGGGGGAGAATCTGGGGCCCAAATACTTATGTGGCCTGTCCCTGTAGTGTACAGGTATAAGGGACTGAGAAATGGATAGGAGACAGAGATTTGAGGGGCCTCCTTCCATCTATGTTTAGATAGAGAAAATATAGTTCTGCCAAGCAGATATTCTCGTTTCTCATCTATCACATGTTGAACGAATTTTGTCTTCCTCCCTCTTGGCCAGTTTCCTCGCAAGCAAAATAAGTTTATGGGCTTAGATCATAAATATGACTTACTTTATGTTTCATACAACATGTAACTTCCTCCAGATGGTTAATAGCAACGAAAATTGATAAAAGGAACAGAATTCTTAATTTAGTGTGTTTTCTGTTATTAGAAAGTCTAAGCCTGAAAATAAGTCTAATTTTGATCATTATTTTCAGTGTTTCACTTATTTGAGATGAATTTTTGCTTCCTGCTTTCACCTAAGCATTAAATGTCTGTGGCTGTCCTCTAGCCAAATAAATTTGAGAAACACTGGATGATGAACCTCAACAATTCTGGCAGCTCTAATGCTGGCGACTGTTGGCTCCTTCCCGACAGAGAGGCTGTGGTAAACCGAGTGTTTGACAAGCTGTCCCCCCTACACCAGCGCATCTACTGTGCTCTCTCTGGTTCGGCCGCTGATGCCCAGGCGGTGGCCGACATGGCCACTTACCAGCTGGAGCTCCATGGGTATGAAGCTGTGGGGTCTTCAGTGCACATCTACTAGAGCGCCCCCCAACCAGGGAGCCCCTGTACAATGTCTTGTTCCAAGAGAGCCTTGCAGTGCAAAATGAAAAATTCTTGTTTGGGCTCCTGCTTTCCCTGGCTTTGAACTGGCACTTGAATCTCTCAAAGCTGGTTTCTGCATCTGTAGGCTGGAGATAATGAGCAGTACCAAACTCCCCTCCCTGGCCAGATGGTTACTTTGAGAATTAAATGATAACACATGAAAATGGTTTGAGAACTGTAAATCACTTTCCTCACACAAATAATGAGGCAGAAAATGATGGTGTGGCCCACCATAATACCAGGTGGTTACCAAGGGGAAAGCCAAGGTCACTGGGGCGGAAGTAAAGCTTACCTGCTTTTACCCACATGGGCTTTTACCCCCTGCAGCAGAGTTATGTCACAAGGCTCGGGGGCAAAGGGTAGTTGGGACAGAGTAAAGGAGGGGTACAGTTGAAATCTTCTTACCAATCAGTGGCGTGAGACTCTAGTTCCCCTGCACCTGTGGGAGGAGAGCTGGGGTTTGAACTCTTGTCGGTTTCAGGTGTCACCTGGCAGGGATAATGGGAATGGCACAGGAGGGTTGAACATCAGGAATTTATGTTGCCCTGTGTTCCTAACATTTCCTTTAGCTTGGAACTGGAAGAACCTCCACTTGTTCTGGCTGCTGCAAACATGGTGAAGAATATTACTTATAAATACCGGGAGGACCTATCTGCACATCTTATGGTAGCTGGCTGGGACCAACGTGAAGGGGGCCAGGTGAGTATCTCCTAATGCACTGCTTCCCTTGGGGTTCCCCACTCCCTATGAAAGGAGATGGAGGTCACATGTCATTCTAGCAATAAATTCCAAAGACACTGCCTCTAAAAACAAGTATAGTCTCAACTGGTGGGGCTGTGAGCTATTGAGGCTTCACTGCAGAGTGTGCAGACCACCTGCTTGTCTCAGTGGCAGGAAGCAGATTGATGCTTCTACAGTCTGACCTGAGGATACCTCCCCCAGGTATATGGCACCCTGGGAGGAATGCTGATCCGACAGCCCTTTGCCATTGGTGGTTCTGGCAGCACCTATATCTACGGTTATGTGGATGCAGCATATAAACCAGGCATGTCCCCGGAGGAGTGCAGGCGCTTCACCACGGATGGTAACTAGCCAAGTGGAAGGGTGCTTGGGGAGGGTTTTTTAACATGGGAAGGACGAGGAGTTAAGAAAAGGAATACATGGGTGACCTTTTAATTTAATGTCCAAATTGAGACACTTTTCAGAGCAAAGGGGGCAGGAGAAAGGCTAAACTAGATGGAACTTCAGAACAGAAAGCATAAACCAGGATTGTTCTGAGTACACCAAATTAAGACACATGTTTGGTTACTATAAGAACCAGTGTTGTGCTGGAACTGGCTCAGGCCAGCTCATGGGGGCCAATTGTTAAATATTCAAGGATTTCTGAGCTGCATTTCAAATCAATCATGGTGAGAGTAATTGAGACCATGGACATCAGGAGATGCCACATATGAACCTACATATGAATGAACCCCACTAAATATTCATCTCAAGGAGATGTGTTTAGAGGTCTGAAAGTGGAAATAGGCACGTGGACAAGATGAGAAGGAAAAGATCTTTGAAGCTAAGCCATTCTCTCTCCCTCTCTCCAACTTGAAACCCTCTGCAGCTATTGCTCTGGCCATGAGCAGGGATGGCTCTAGTGGGGGTGTCATCTACCTGGTCACTATTACAGCTGCTGGTGTGGACCATCGAGTAATCCTGGGCAATGAGCTGCCGAAATTCTATGATGAGTGACTCTTCTCACACTTCATTTCTTTACTTTGTAATAAACTTTCTTGAACTAGAACCTGGTATGGTCAATGGGAAATGGGTGCCCAGGGAGATGAACCTTAGGGAAGGGGGTTCTTCCCTCTCAGAGGTGAGATAATCTTTTTATTCCTTTGTTCCCAGGACTAAAACATCTTTCCCAGAGAAAGGAGTGGGAGAATGTACTAGAATTAGAAAAAGCCCTGTACACAACAGGTCATCATACACTGAGTGATGCTGAAATATCAGAAACAATAAAACTTCTCATTCTGACACCCAAGGGAAGAGAGTACAAGTGAGGAGTTGGGAATCATTCCTTGAAGGCTAACGGGTGGGTGGATAGGACAGCTACACACGTGAGAGTTAGCTAGGAGCACTAGCAAACTCACATGTAAAGGAATTCCTATCGTAATGTACATAATGCACATGAAAGATCAATGTAAGATAAATGCTTAACTATTTGAGAGGCACTTGTGATTCTCAATAACAACAATAACCAAAAAAAAAAAACAACACTACATTTACAGAACCAGGCATTGTGCTAAATGCTTATAAACTTTAGAACCCAAAGAACCCTTACATAGGTACTACTATTTAAGGACAGGTGGAGGCTTAGAAAGATTAAGTCCCTTGATCAAAGTCACAGCAAGTTCAAAAGCTGAGATCTGGAGTTTAGTTTTACCATATGCCCATCTTCGACTACTACTGAAAACTCTGTTCCCTCAAGTTTCATGTACCATCTTCTCCTTGAAATCTAAGTAACTGTGTTAAACAAGCCTTCTGGTTCTATCTTTGCCATGCACTTTCTGAGCGACAGGACAAGTTAGGACAAATTATTCCCCTTCTGTGAGCCTTCCTTTCTTTTTCTGTTAAATAAAGGTGTTGAGTGACTTCTAAGATAATTTACAGCTCTGACACCCAAGGCCATTTTGTTAATAAGTGAACAGTTAAGAGGCATATTTAACAGAAATTCTAGTAGCTACACAGGAAGCTGTCTGCTTTTCTTTCTGAATCTCAGGCTAAATATACAAGTTCAAAGTACCCTAAAACAATTCTATGCCCTTGGGAATGTGTTTGCATGCAGAGGGAGGAGAAAAATCTAAAACTACTAGAGCCTTGAGTTCTTTCTAGACCTGATAGTTAATTTATTTTGAAATTTAAAATAATAGTTTCAGGGGGCGGAGCCAAGATGACGGCATAAGTAGGACAGTGGGAATCTCCTCCCAAAAACATATATATTTTTGAAAAAACAACAAATACAACTATCCCTAAAAGAGAGACCAGAAGACACAGGACAACAGCCAGACTACATCCACACCTGCGAGAACCCAGCACCTGATGAAAGGGGTAAGATACAAGCCGCAGCTCAGCGGGACCTGAGGCCCCTCACCCCAGCTCCCAGCGGGAGGAGACGAGTCAGAGCGGGGAGGGAGAGGGAGCCCAGGACTGTTAAACACCCAGCCCTAGCCATCCGCACCAGAGCGCAGACACACAGTGCATGTGTGGGGTGCTGGAAACTAGGGAAGCAGGACAGTAAGACCTGTGAGCAGGTCCTGAAGCCGGCACCCCTGGGACAAAGAAAAGCAAGTGCTTTTTGAAAGTCTTTAAGGGACAGGGACCTCACAGCTGGACAGAAGCATCCCGGGTCACAGTCCAGCAGCTGGAAATTCCAGGGAACTCCAGGCTCACTAACCCCCTGGGCAACAGCTCTGAGACCCCTCACGGAGGTAAACAGCCAAACAGCCCCCCATCCATTACCCCTCTGGGGCCCTGCCATAGCAGAGCAGCAGCCTGAGGTTGGTCACGCCCTCAGCAAGGGAGCTTCCTCCATACCGGCTGGGCAAGATACAGAGACCCAGTCTACATGCAATTGCCCAACACAAGCCACTAGGGGTTGCAGTTGTACCAGTAAAGAAAGGCCAGGAGCAAGTGGAGTCTTGGCTCTCCCAGCTGACAATGAGTCAATAGCATACCACTGCACCTATCAGCATGAAAAGGCAAAAAAATCTGATCCAGACAAGACTAACCCAGACAGCTTTGACATCTTCTACATCTTCCTCTGAGAAGGAACCTGGGGAGATGGATTTAACCAATCTTCCTGAAAAAGAATTCAAAACAAAAGTCATAACCATGCTGATGGACTTGCAGAGAAATATGCAAGAACTAAGGAGGGAGAATACAGAAATAAAACAAGCTCTGGAAGGACTTCAAAACAGAATGGATGAGATGCAAGAGACCATTAATGGACTAGAAAACAGAGAATAG